CCCGCGAGCGCGGCTCTGCGGATTGCCGCCTCGCCGTACTGCAGCAGGCACGCCACCTGCTCTGCCGCGAGGCACATCGACGCCGCCCGCCGCTGCCGCTCCGACCACCGCGTGAAGAAGTCGCGGAGAGCGCCGTACATCGCGCACGTGTCGGTGTCAAAAGAGGAGAGCTGCGGATGCCGCAGCAGCGCGCGGCTCATGCGGCGTGCGATGAGGTGAAGCTGCTCTGACGAGACATCGTTGCTGGGCGCAGCGGCGCCACACTCACCAGCCCCGGCGCAGCCGTCGTTGCTGGCAGCAGAAATGGGCGACGTCGCCACGGCCACACCCCGCCCAGCCATCACCCCGTCCTGCACTAGTTCTGACGCCTGCACCACTGCCGGTGCCGCAAGGCGATGCGAAGAAGAAAAAAAAAAGCCAACAACAACAAAGAAAAAAAAAACGAACCTGTTACATCGGCATTTCTGCCGCAGCGAGGACACCCGCCCAGCATACCGTGGGGCAGACGAAAAGAAAGGCGATGACTGTGGTGTTGCTGAAGAAGGCGTCACGCCAATGCAAACAGACACAGACAACTGGACACCACTCGCACGTGTGTGCCTCTCCCCCCCCTCACTGATAAACATCTTGCTTCTTGAAGCGACAGAAAACCGCTGGCACCACACGCGCGTCCGAGCACTACTTCTATTCACTACTACAANATAAACATCTTGCTTCTTGAAGCGACAGAAAACCGCTGGCACCACACGCGCGTCCGAGCACTACTTCTATTCACTACTACAACTCCCCGCCTGCGCACATCCACAACTCTACAGCAGTACCCAACAACGACGACAGTAACAGCACCGCAGAGGCGCACATAATTTCACCCCCCTCCCCCCCACCGCTCGCGAAGGACGATGCAAACAAAAATAAAAATTTCCTGCTGCTAAGCACCGCCCCACATTCCTGCTTCCCTAAATCCAAACCCCCAACCCCCAGCTCTCTCTCTCTCTCTCTCTCTCTCCCTCACTACGTATATATAAATAAATAAATAAATAAATANATATATATATATATATATACACTCTTCTCAATCTACCATCATTCCATTCACTCGTCACTTGCATGGCCACCAGAATTCGTCAAAGGCGTTTGGGTACGTGTAGCGGTACACAAATGTTTTGCGGTACTTAATCTCTCGCCCGCGGGAGTCTTTGTAGACGCCGAGCTCGAGCTCCACGTTGCGCCACTCCCGCGCAAAGCGCCGCACGCGATCCACGCGTGTTTCACCGGGAATGCGTTTTTTGACGTGCGCATTGATGTCCTCATGAACTGCGTCCCACTGCGGGCTTGGCTGGCGGATGTATTTCGCTCGAACGGGTGTGGCGATGGCGCTGCAGTGGCATCCCGTGCCTGCTGCCGTTGCTGCTGCTTCCAGCGCCGGCCCTACGAGCAACGCCGCTGGACGGCGAAGGCGCTGCATCCACT